ATCGGGCGTGAAACTGAAAAGCTTCCAGTCAGACGGAGGAGGAGAATACACCTCTCAGCGATTCAAGCAGTACCTGGCGGAAAGGGGAATCAAGCGGCTCATCTCCCTTCCCTACGCCCATCAGCAGCAAGGTGTAGCAGAAAGAATGAACAGGACCTTGCAGAACAGCATGCGCAAACTGTTACGTGGCATGCGGCTACCCAACCACCAGTGGCCTGCGGCAATGGACCACGCCGTCATGCTGCACAACTTGCTCTCGTCATCATCGCTTCCAAACAACGCATCACCGCATCTGCTATGGACAGGGAAACAGGGCAGCACAAAAATGTTACGAGTATTCGGATGCATGGTACAGTACCGACCCCCAGCAGCACGAGCGGGCCGATTTTCTCAACGAGCACAGTGGGGACTACACCTGGGAATCGAAAAGAACTACAACGCGTGGAAAATCTTCGACGTCCATTCCACGGAAACAGTAGCAGCACGTGATGTAATTTTCTACGAACGACTCACGCTCCAGACATACCTTGCCAACCTGCAAGAAGACCAGGATCCCACAGGTGGTTTTCGCGGTGACCGAGCCTTCGCCTCTGCAACGGACGAAGCTGACTGGGACGAGCAGAATGTGGACAACGCATCAGAAGAAGCCGGACCTCTTCCGTTCTGCTCCGTCGACGTTCCCATGGACGAAGATAACCCTCGCGAAAGTGTCAACGCCGAAACCTTCTACTATTTCGCCGACAACGGTTACGTAACACCTGCGACAGTCAACACCAACGAAGCAGAACGAGTAGGACCCAACTTCATACCTGATCCAGAAGCGGGAGATGAAGCAGCTTATCCCGAGGACGCAAATCTTCCCCGCTACTCACAGAGTGGACTGCAAATTCTCGGACTCGTCACCGCAGTCCACGGCACCGCCATTCCTAAAGAGCCTGCGACAGTTCAACAGGCTCTGGGGGGGGAGCATAAGGAAAAATGGCGCGAAGCCATGGACAAGGAGCTGAAGGCACTGGAGGAACGCAACACGTGGAAAGTGGTTCCTATCGGCGTGGCACGGAACAAGACAGTGCTCACCGGGAAGTGGGTCTTCCGTGTGAAGACAAAGGCTGACGGCACCATTGACAAATTTAAAGCTCGCTGGGTTGTACGCGGCTTCGACCAAGAACACGGACGCGACTTCACCGAAACTTTCGCTCCGGTTAGCCGCCACACCTCACTACGCATTCTCCTCGCAATCGCCGCCATGAAGAAGAAAAAGCTGCGACAAATTGACGTCGCGAACGCGTTTCTCTACGCACCTGTTGATGCAGAAATTTTCTTCGAGCTACCGCACGGCTCCCACAGAGAACCCAACCAAGTCTGCCAGCTACTCAAGTCACTCTACGGCATCAAGCAGGCTCCGCGACTGTGGCAACAGTACCTGCACGCTCGCCTCATCCGCATCGGCTTCAAGCAACTACCGCACGATCAAGGCATGTACCGGCTCACAAAAAACGACGACTACATCCTACTAATCGTCTACGTGGACGATCTCCTTTACATCGGCTCAAATGACGGCATCACTACCTGGTTCGAAGGGGAGCTGCAGCGAGATCTCACGCTCACAGTTTCATCTACCGTCACTCAGTACCTCGACCTCAACATCCGGGAAGAGGAGGACGCGATCTACCTCAGCGCCGAGAAATATGCCGACACCATCGCCAAACGCTTTACGCTCACACCGACAGCCATCTCCACGCCATACCGCTACACGGCAGGGAACGACAAAGGAAGCTCCGCTCTACTCAAGCCCGCCGGCATACGAGACTACCAGAAGAAGCTGGGATGTCTTCTCTTCGCAGCCGTCACCTGTCGCCCCGACCTCTCATACTCCGCAAGCCAGCTCGCCACCTACCTCAAGTAGCCTGAAGCAGAACATCTGGCGGAGCTCGACCGCGCTCTTCACTAATTCGTCAGCACCCCAACGATCGGCCTAACTTACTACAAGAACGCAACCACACCGAATAAGTTAATCGGCTACGTCGACGCTGATCACGCTGGCGACTCCGACAATAGGCGCTCCCGCACCGGCTACATCTACCGCCTCGAACCTATCGGACCTATCTCTTGGCAGTCGAGCAAGCAGGAATTAATTGCTCTCTCGTCAGCTGAAGCAGAATATATTGCACTCTGCTCAGCCACCAAGGAAGGACTCTATCTTCGCGAGCTGCTGGGAGAAGCGAAGTTAGCCGAGTTACCCAACTTTACCCTGTTCTGCGACAACCAGTCGGCAATTCGCATCGCCAACAAGAACGGCTTCGCGAACAGGACGAAACACATCGCCCTGCGATATTTCTTCGTGAAGGACGAGATCGAGAAGGGAAGGCTCGAGCTGTCATACTGTCCCACGTCCGAGATGGCAGCTGACTACCTGGCCAAGAAGCTCGGAAAGCAGAAGTTCGAATACTGCATGCTGCTGACTGGACAGAGCCACGTCAGCGACACTCCAGAAGCGAAGGGGAGTGTTGGAAACAATCGGTCCTAAGCGCCTCTGTCGTGTCGAAACACTAAGACACAAAAGAAACGAAGTATAACGAATCACCGGCGAGTCAACCCTCGGAGGTTGAAAGTAACTGTTGGAGGTTACGCGAAAGTCAAAGGTCAGCGACCTTTGACCTGACAAAGTACAGCGCGACAGCAAGGACAAACAACTGACTCGGTATTGAGCAGTTGCCCGAGTCGTCACTGTATCGAACCGCAACAGCAATAGTAAAACGGTTATTAACAGTATCTCTTCGTATTCCTTGTACTCTTATAAAAGCTTGTATCTCTTTGTTTTAATCAACTTACTTTGCCCTCACATACTAGCGCAAGGTGGTTCACAACTCTTTAATTAACGCTTCCGCTACTACACCAACTCTACCCAGAGTTCACCCCTGCAAAGATCCTAAGGGTTTTTCAGCCCAACAACTTTTAACAGGAATTTTGTTTTTCTTCTTATTTATCAGACTAGAAAAACTATTCCAGCTTATAATGCAGACCATGTAAATTTCGTCGTCCGAGCGTAAGACGGGGGAATTTTTTTTCAGGGTACTGTCAGACAGCCCCAAAACCTAGCGAGAGCCCTGATCACCTCATGCTTGCTGCTGGATGGTGCTGCTGCTTATGTTTGCTCTGCTCCAGACGACCAAAATGAGTTCGTCCGGCAGCACCGGAACTTGTATCGTAACTTGTGATGGAACATGGTTGCATTGCAATGCCATGCCTGACTGACTGACACAAAAGAGCGCAAACAGAAATGGCCAAGCTTAGAGAAACAGTATTTCCGGCAATTCCACCACCAGGACCACCGCCACTAGCCTCACCAGTAATTCCAATAATTCCATCAACTACAGAACCAGCACTGTCAGTGTTACGCCTGCTGGGGCTCCCACTATCCCTACTCCCATCCCAAACTGCTATTGCTGCTGCTGCCGGCACCGCCGCCGCCACCGCCACTGTTGCTGCGGCTGCTGCTGCAGGCACCATCAAAACCAGAATCACCTGCAATGGCATTTTGTGACACAGCAGTCACCTGGCCCCTCCTAACCCTCTCATTTCAGAACTGTTGCTGAAATATTCTCACCCCTGCCACTGCTGCCGCCGCCGCCGCCGCCGCCGCCGCTGCTGCTGCTCCTGCCACCATCGAAACCAGAATCACCTGCCATGGCATTGAGTGACATAGCAGTCACCTGGCCCCTCCCAACCCTCTCATTTCAGCAATGTTGCTGAAATGTACTCACCCCTGCCGCTGCTGCCACTGCTGCTGCGGCTGCTGCTGCTCCCACCATCAAAACCAGAATCACCTGCCATGGCATCGAGTGACACAGCATCACCTGGCTCCTCCTAGCTCTCTCATTTCAACACTGTTGCTGAAATGTTCTCGCCCCTGCTGCTGTTGCTGCTGCTGCTGCTGCTGCTGCTTTCACCACCTACCACCACGGCCCACCAGAACCACCTGCTCCAGAACCACCTTCCCCAGCAGCATTACCTGCACGAGTACCAGCCTCCCCCTCGACCTCACTGAAGTTATCTCTTTGTTTTCCTGGCGATTGCATTGAAGGAACAGCCTCCCCCGGATGCTCCACCAATGCTGCTGCTGCTGCTGCTGCTGCTGCTGCTTCCACCACCAGACCCACCGCCCCCAGCACCACCTGCACCAGCACCACCTGCTTACCTGACCTCCCTTATCACTGTCAATGTTATCTACTCCCCTCACCACCACTGCTCCCACGACCACTGCTGCTGCTTCCACCACCAGCACCACCGCCCCCAGCACCACCGCCCCCAGCACCACCGTCCCCAGCACCACCGCCCCCAGCACCACCGTCCCCAGCACCACCGTCCCCAGCAGCAACACGTGCCCCAGCAGCAGCCTCCCCCACCTTGTTGAAGTCTTTTTTTTGTGTTCTGCATTTGCGGAAATACAGGGACGAGCGCATTAGAGGCATTGCCTCCCCTGGATGCTCCTTCCGCCCATCACTGCCCATGTCATCAGCTGCTCTCACCACCACCGATGCTGCTACTTCCACCACCAGACCCACCTCCCCCAGCAACACCTGTCCCAGCAGCACCAGCACCACCGCCCCGAGTACCAGCCCCCCATCCCCCCCCTGAAGTCCTCTCTTAGTAGTCTGTACTTGCCGAAAGTTGATTTTTGAGGCGCCTAAAAAAATCCCCCCCCCCCCCCCCCCCCCTCCCCCCCCCTTAAGTCCTCTCTTAGTATTCTGTACTTGCTGAAATACAGCGACGAGCGCATCAAGGGAACGACCTCCCCTGGGTGTTCCTCCCTCCCTCCTATAACTCTCGGTGTTATCAACTGCTCTCACTAACACTGCTGCTGCTTCCACCACCAGCACCACCTGAACCAGGAGCACCAGAACCGCCCCCAGAACCACCGCCCCCAGCACCAGCCTCCCCCTCCTCGCTGAAGTCCTCTCTTCGTATTCTGTACTTGCCGAAATACAGCGACGAACGCATCAGAGGCACGGCCTCCCCTGGGTGTTCCTCCCAATATGCCTCCTGAAACGGGAGAGGGTAAAGGTTTTGTCTGCCAGTTAATTGAATGGGGGAAAAAAAAAAACAGAGGTACACCAGCAAACACCCGTAATCCGTGTGTTTGTGACAATTCTGAAGAACTCACTGCTTTTCCCCAGATGTCTCTTTTTTCTTACCTGTATCGTTGTTCTGTGATAGCCGCGAGTGTGATTCCCGTATAGAATCCCGCGGCATTCGCTATAAGAATCGGCAGTAGCGGCTCGGGAGGCGCGAACCGCAGTAGCCGATCGAATAGCATGCGGGAGACACGTGTCGGCATCGGCGTACGCGGGGAGAACAAGCCCTCGTACACGTCAGCAGGCGACATGGCTGACGTGGCCTTCGCGGAATTCGCGGCGCGCTGTGCAGGACTCCATAAAGCCCGTAATCTACGGAACATCGCTTCCTACGCCACGTGCACACAACTCAAACGATCCAATACCGTGGGTACGAAAAAGCTTCTGTAGAGAACGAAGGAAACCAAGGAAACGTCCTTTTAGACGTGAACAGAAACTGTTATTGGAAGCGGCTGGATGGCCATTAGCTAGAAGTGCCAATCAATTCGGCCGCCACTGATATAGGCCAAGCTGATGTGCCTCCAGTACCGCGGATCTCCCAAGCCTAGTGCTCACGCAAAGAAAATACATGCGAGTTTAGACATGCTACTGCACCGAAGGTTACCACGAAATCTACCATACGGATCGTTTTGAGACGAGCTTTAGCAGCAGGGACCCTACCTTGTTCGGTGAGTTTGAGATTTCATGCAGGCGTTTCCATTTCACAGGCGTGTCGAATATATTTCGATTCCAAAACGTTTCTCATCCCAACCAGGTTTCAGGTATTTCCGTGACTTGTGACGATACAGTTCGATTCGTGTCGAGGATCTGAACCTTGAATCCGCAGAAACGTTAGGAACACGCTCTTCCACTTTTGTTTTATCGGGAATATCAGGCCATTCTGGAAAACACTAGCTAGGAACCGCGATTCCGCCATAGTCGTCGGGCTTATGCTTGGTTTATCCTCGTCGCACTTTTTCGCGATCGAATTACACGATCGACGTTGAGAATCTCTGGTAATTGGTAGCGTTGCAACGCCTTCTTTTCCGATCGACGGCAGTCATAAAGCCGTAGGCACACACACGCTGTGAAGCCCCGTACGAGGCCAGCATTTTAGTCGCTAAGGTTGATCGTACACACACATCGTTGTCGCCCACGATGGGAGGCGGATTAATCGCCGTCGATCAGCGAGCATCGGACGGCGGACCGGTGCTGGAGCTAGGGGAGGAGGGCGAAGCGGGGGAGGTTCTTCTGCACTCCCAGCCTGACGTGGGATTGGTGCTTGGCGAATCTGACGTGGACGAATCAGGGAACCTGTACATTACATCCAAGTGAGACTGCTGACTCGTCATTCCATCTCCTCTCCCCTGTCATTTCTCCTCTTCCTGTCGTTCCCCCTTGTTTTCCTGTCATTTCCACGTCATTTTTATCCGTGTTTTGCGGCATTCCTCACGAACCTCTCCTGGCTTGTCAGTCACCCTGGTAGATCTGACGTGGCCGGCCTTATTCGTCCCGTTCTCCCTCCTTCTACACCCTTCTTTCCCCCTTCCTTCGTCTCCTCCCTTTCCTTTCTCATTCATCTCCCAGGCGAGTGATCTGGCACCCCTCGCACACCCCTCATGGCATTGCAGTCAGCCTGGTAGATCTGAGCGTGGGTTACCACATGTGTTCCCTTGTTCCCTTCCCCTCTGCTTCTATCCCCCACTGCTTCTCTACCCTTGTTCCCGTCTTTCCCCTTCATCTCCCAGGCGAGTGGTATGGCACACCACAAACACCCCACACGGCATCGCAGTCAGCCTGCTAGATTTGAGCATGCACAGCCTAACCTGTTCCCCTCCTCCCTTCTTCACTTTCGTTCTCTCATTCCTTTCTTCCCTTATTCTCCTCTCTTCCTTCCTCCTCCCTTCTGCCCCCATCCTCCTCCCAGGCGTGTCATATGGCACTCCACACACACCCCGCATGGCATCGCAGTCAGCCTGGTAGATCTGAGCATGCACGCCATTTCCAGGGACCTCGAAGCATATCCCAAGCCCTGCATCTACACGCAGGTGCGTATTCATGGAAGCATGTTGCTGGGGGGAGCATCACCCCCATCTTCTAGTCATCCTGCATGCACGCCTGGGGAGAATACCGTCTGTCACTCCATCTCAGTGCGCCACCTATATTGGTGCGACTTTTGAGAATTCTCATAAGGCGCCACAGTCAGCCTGGTAGATCTGAGCATGCACGCCATCTCCAGGGACCTCGAGGGGTACCCCAAGCCCTGCATCTACACGCAGGTAAGTGCTTTCTTCAACTGGTGTGAATACAGTCATCCCATCTAAGTGCCAGGTGGTCAGCCTGGTAGATCTGAGCATGCATGCGATTTCTAGGGACCTCGAGGCATAACCCAAGCCCTGCTTCGACACGCAGGTGGGTGGGAGACAGAGAGAGAGCTTGTTGGTCATGGATGCCATGGGTGAAAGCACCCCCATTCTCCAGTCATCCTGCATGTTCGCCATGTGTGAGTGCGGTCTGGCCATGTGAGTGCTGCCGGCAGTCGAACAGGTGGATCTGAGCATGCATGTTGGAATCACTTTTGAAATCTCTCAAAAGTGATCCCGTGAATCGGAGCGTGCATGCCGTTTCCAAAGACAATGTTCAAGTATTAAGAACATTAAACCCCGTACCCTGACCCGAATTCTAGAGGCTTACTCCCAGGCTGCAGCCCCTATACTAAACTTATAAACCACAAACCCCGGCAGGTGACGGGAAAGACGAGGAAGAGGGTGAGAACAAGTGTGTTTTGAGCCGTCTCATCCAACCCCCCTCCATCCAATTCCTTCTCATCATCCCTCTCGTCCTTCAGGTTGACACTGGTGACTGGGAGGACGAGGAGGAGGAGGATGAAGAGGAGGAAGAGGGAGAAGGAGAAGAGGAAGAAGGAGAGGGGGAGGGAGCAAGAGGAGCAGGGGCAGCAGCACAACCGAACCATGTAGCAGGATCAGAGGGAGGGGCAGGGGGGAGAGGAGAGGGCGGGGATGAGGAGATGAGGGAGGCGGAAGGAGAGGCGAGAGGAAGTGATGTGCCTGCTGCTGCTGCTGCTGCTGCTGCTGCTGGTGCTGGTGCTGCGGTGGGCAACGGGAGTGTGGCAAACGTGTTTGAGCACCTGTCGCTTGTGTCTGAAATGAGGCTTGTTCCGAGAGACGAAGCTGCTTGTGAGTGCTGCTTCCCTCCCTTTCTATCTCTTTCCTGTTCCCAGTTACGCTTGGTTATCCTACTTTTCTGTTTGTGTCGAGAATGAGGGCTGTTTTGACAGACAGAGTTGCTTGTGAGTAGCTGCTTACTCTCCTTCCACCTTTTTTTTCATGTACTTGAATTCTCCTATTTGCTTGCTGAAACTGATGCTTCCAAGACATGAAGTTGCTGGTATATCGCACTTCCCTCTCTTCCATGGTTGCGTTTCTCTCCCCGCTCCCCCCCCCCTTCCTCCCCTTACCCTACCGTGGATGCTATTTTCAAAGCTCTGTGCGACAGTGCGGCACTGAATTCCTCGCCTTCCTTCTTGATCTGATTCTCATTGTTGCCTCACTCTTCTCCTCCTCCCCCTTCCCACTGCTCCCCCCCCCTTCCTCCCCTTACCCTACAGTGGATGCCATTTTCAAGGCTCTCTGCGACAGTGCTGCACTGAATCCCGACCCAGAAGGAGGTGAGAGACCAGATGGTGTGCCATTGTAACGAGGTGGCATTTGAGTCGACTCAAAAGTCACCTCGTTTCAAGGCTCTCTGCGACAGTGCTGCACTGAATCCCGACCCAGAAGGAGGTGAGGAGAGAGAGAGCATGGGTTGCCCTAAACCAGCACACACTGGCCTAGCAAGACGACGTTTGATGCGCCTCAACTCAAAGCATGGGTTGCCCTAAACCAGCACACACTGGCCTAGCCTAGACAATTCTAATGGTAAGTCGTTACAGTAGATTCCAGCATGAACGGTTTACCATTCAGAATTGTCTTAAGGTAACTCCAACAATGAAGGATGCAATATATTCAGGCATGAAACGCTCAACGAGGGGTTGCGGGCTGCTTGCTAACCATTCCTGTCAAAATGGCATCTAAAGGGTTTGATGATTTGCTATGTGATCTGATTTTCTTGTAATTTAATTCTCTCGTCAGATTGTTGCGTGCTTCCCTTGTTAAACTTTTGAGTGTTTTCTTGAAATATTGTGTGCTTGTTGTTGTGTATGTATGTGGTATGCCCCTGTAATGTGACGTCTCTGTGTTGCGTTCCCTGCAGCGGAGCAAGAGGGGGAGGGCGACTGGTACTATAACGAGGATGAAGTGTTGAGCAACGCACGAGTGGTGAGGAGACGGAGGGATAGAGGGAGGGAGAAGGACAGAGGGGTGGAGGGTAGGAGAGTGGGGAGGGGGAGACATGCATTACCATGTCATGTGGTAACCCTTATGCCTGTTATGTCACCACATTCCCGCATCACCATGTCACCATATCGCCATGTCACCATGTCACCATGTCACCATATCGCCATGTCACCATATGGCCATGTCATCATTTCACTATATCGCCATGTCCCCGTTTCACCACATCACCATGTCACCATTTCACCACATCACCATGTCACTTTGTTTCCCGGCAGGTGTTACCTGAGGGAGATCCGGACGAGGAGAGAGCGGAGAAAGCACCATATTTCCCTGTCACCATGACACCTATCTTGCCATGTCACCCTATCTCCCGGCAGGTGTTACCTGAGGGAGATCCGGACCAGTTTGAAGATGCAGATGAGGACGAGGAAGAGGAGGACGAGGGAGCAGGTGCTGCTGCTGGGTCATAGGCTCATGGCCATGTGATGTGACGGCACGCCATGGCATGCAATGGCAAGGCAGTGCACCGCATGGCATGGCACGGCATGGCATGGGAGTACGGTACCAGTTTGAAGATGCAGATGAGGACGAGGAAGAAGAGGAGGGAGCGGGTGCTGCTGCTGGGTCATAGACTCGTGGGCATGTGATGGCATGGTGTGATGCGGTGATGGCACACTGCCATGTCAGCACATCCACCGGCAGGTGGTATCTGAGGGAGATCCGGACCAGTTTGAGGATGATGAAGACGAGGAAGAAGAGGAAGCAGGTACTGCTGCTGGGTCATAGGCTCATAACCATTTGATGTGACGGCACGGCATGGCATGGCATGGCATGGCACGGCATGGGAGTACAGTACCATTTCAACAAGCTGTGGAGGATACGTGCGTTGGCGGGGTGATGCCGATCATAAATTACGGAGAAATGGAGAAGAGGGAGATTTCGTGTTTACGCTAGGTGCCTCTAAATGCAATGGCAAAGAGGGAGTAGGTGATGCTGATGGTTCACTCATGCTCATGTGCATGCCATGGCACGATGATATACAGACTTATACAAGAGCATTATTGAAGCATGGTGCTGCTGATGTACTGGTCGTCAAAGCCTGGTTCATTGTAGAAAATCAGAGAGATAATTAACCATGAAGTGCTGAGCCTCTTGTCAATGCTGGCAGGATTTAGTCATGCAGGAGGATGGAGTCCGCAGGCTAATAGATGCACACGACCTGTAATACCAGTAGTTGAATGTTATCCACTACCAAAACAGTATGGTACCGTTACAAGAAACCTAAGCTGCCAAACATTTCAATAAAAAGGGCCACTATATTTCTAGGGTGGTTGTCAAAACCCTAGATTCTTTATCCATACGTGTAACACTTCGCAACAAGTGTAGCGCTTAGCTGCCGAGGGCAAGCATGAACTCGCCCTCGCACACGAGATCACCACCCACGTACGCCTTGCCTGCCAGCTTGGCGATTCCGAACCGCTTCTGGTACTTGGTGAGGGTCATGCGCATCACGAGCGTGTCACCGGGGGTGACGGGCTTGCGCCAACGGACCTGAACACAGAGGGATAAGTGGGGGGGACACGGGGGCCTTACTTAGCAAGGGTCATGCGCATCACGAGCGTGTCACTGGGGGTGACGGGCTTGCGCCAACGAACCTGCACGGCTTTGGAGGGGTGGGAATGGCGAAATCAGGAAATAACAGGAGTCAGGAAATGTATTGTCCTTGTCAAACTGCTTCTGGTACTTGGTGAGCGTCATGCGCATCACGAGCGTGTCACCTGGGGTGATGGGCTTGCACCAAAGGACCTGCAGAGAGCAGAGGGAGAGGGCAGAGGAAGATGTGGGAATCAGATGGGTTATAGCTTCCCATCGTGCTTCTGGTACTTGGTGAGGGTCATGCGCATCACCAGGGTGTCACCAGGGGTGACGGGCTTGCGCCAACAGACCTGCACGGGTTGGGTTGGGTTGGGAGCGGTGGGAATAAGAAAGAGCGGGGAGTGTGCTGCCTCAGTCAGGCTGCTTCTGGTACTTGTGAGTGTCATGCGCATCACCAGGGTATCACCGGGGGTCACTGAATGCGCCAACGGAACTGCAGAGAGCGTAGTGAGGGGGAACACAAAGGTGAGGGTTGGTGAGGGTCATGCGCATGACCAGGGTGTCACTTGGGGTGACAGGCTTCCACCAACAGACCTGCAGAGGGCAGAGGGAGAGGAGAACCAGAGAGGAACAGGAGAAGACTTTTGAGGCGCCTCAAATCTTGCGCCAGCGAACCTACAGAGGGCAAAGGGAGAGGAGAAACAGAGCGGAACAGAGGAGGACTTTTGAGACATCTCAAAGGAGAAACAGAGTGGAACAGAGGAGGGAGGAAGGGTAGTACTGGAAGTGGAAGGGAGTACTGGAAGGGAGTAGTGGAAGGGAGTACTGGAAGGGAGTACTGGAAGGGAGTACTGGAAGGGAGTACTGGAAGGGAGTACTGGAAGGGAGTACTGGAAGGGAGTACTGGAAGGGAGTACTGGAAGGGAGTACCGGAAGGGTGGAAGGGAGGAAGGGATAGAAGAGGAGAACCAGAGTGGAACAGGAGGATAGAGAGGGGAGAGGAGAGGAGAGGAGAGGAGAGGCGAAGGGAGAGGCGAAGGGAGAGGCGAAGGGAGAGGCGAAGGGAGAGGCGAAGGGAGAGGGGAGAAAGGAGGAGAGGAGGTGAGAGATTACAGTTATGTGTTCGAGTTGTATTCATGTGCTACTGATGTCCTCACATGATACTGAATCTCAGTATATACCCAATTCTTTCTCCTCTATTCCAGAGTCTGGAACCCTTTTTTCATCACCACTCACGGAACCATCCTGAATCGCCCTGAACCACCCTCAACCACCCTGAACCACCGAAAAACTCACCCCGTCGACGCCAGCAAAGAAGAAGGCGTCTCTCTTGCCGCCAAAGTCGTCAGTGAGCATCACGATGCCTCCTAGCTGCGCCATGGCCTGTTCAGCCATGGATAGAAACACACACAAGCGCAGCAGGGTGGGAGTGCAATGACACAAGGGTGGATGGGTGGGTGAGTGGGTGGGTGGGGGTGAGAGTGCATGAAGGTCGCCTGTGAGTCGACTGGGAAGTATTTTGAGGCGCCTCAAAATACACCTCACTGCGAGTGGGTGGGTGGGGGTGAGAGTGCATGAAGGTCGCCTGTGAGTCGACTGGGAAGTCACTCCAAAGCCGCGTGAAGCGAAGTTGTTTTTGAGACGTCTCAAACACAACCTCGCCTCACGTGGAGAGTGCATGAAGGTCGCCTGTGAGTCGACTGGGAAGTCACTCCAAAGCCGTCCGTGAGGCATCACGATGTCGCCTAGTCGTGCCATGACCTGCAGCGACAGATGGTGACACGTCGTGGAACGGGCTGATGGTGTAACAGGCTGGGGAGCGTACCTCCACCATGCGAACGCCCGGCAATATGGGACGCTCGGGGAAATAGCCGGAGAAGAATTTGTACAGGGAGCGAGAAGAGAGGGTCGAGGGAGCGAGAGTGTAGAGAGATATAGGGGGCGACCACAAGGGCAGGTAAGGGCAGGGAACGTACCTCGACCATGAGCACGCCGGGCATGATGGGGCGCTCGGGGAAGTGGCCGGGGAAGAAGTTGTCGTTGACGGTGACGTTCTTGATGCCCACCGCCGTCACGCCCGGCTGGTACTCGATCACTCGGTCCACCAGCAGGAAGGGGTATCTGATGGGAACGGTGGGGAGTGGTAGAGATGGTCGGACGAGAAAGACAAGTATCCGTGGATGTGTGTCTGTGACAACAAGCACATGAACTGGTCGGCACCGCCTGGCCGGCACCGCCTGGCCGGCACCACATGAACGAGCACTATATGCACGGTTTGAGCCTCCCCTATGCGGCAGAGGCTTCTTGATCTTGTTTATATCCAACACGGCAGGGGCGTTGACGAAGGCTGCAGAACGGTAACATGTGCAACTGAGCGACAGAGCATATGCGACAGCACCTGTGCGACACCTATGCGACATCACCATGCGACACCACCTGTGCGCGTTGAGCCTCACCTGTGCGGCAGCAGCTCCTTGATCTTGTTGATGTCCAACACGGCAGGGGCGTTGACGAAGGCTGCAGAACGGTAAATACGTGCAACGTGAAGGGGGAAGGAGAGAAGGGTAAGAGGCTAGAGAGTCTGAGAGACGGAAAAGGGAAATGAGAGTCGAAGATGTGTGTGGGTAGGGATAGCATACATAAAAAATGCGCGGCAGCGGAACCAAGAGGAGGAGAGGAGGGACAGCGTTGCAGCAGGGATAGGAATGCAAAGGGCCTGTGCGGGGTCAGGATGATAGAGGACCTGTGACTCACATTTCTCAATGGGAATCGCCTCAGCCTCTGTGGCAGTCGCCGTCGCAGCCGCTCCATCTCCGTCGCATCGAATCGCCGCGGCGAGAGGGCGACGTGCGACGGCCTTGTGCGACGCCTTCGTCGCGAGCGACATCCCAGAGAAGCTGGAAACCAGAGGCCTGGCGGTGGCAGAAGCCGCGGCCGTGCGAGCCGGCACGGATGCGAAGGCTGCTGCCTGCATCGACACGTCAGCAAGAGTGGCTGCCATGTTTCGGAGCTTTCTAGGTCCGAGACGTGCTAAGATGCTGGTGATGCAGGGTAATCTGCAGATGCGGATGCAAAGCCGAAAAAAAACAGCACCGGAAAGAAGCTGAGAACCGGGCAGAGTAGCGGTAAGGAAATAGGTAGCAGCCAAAGCTGGATCGATGAAATGGCGGGGTACAAAAATGGGATCTGACTGGGACAATTGCTAGAGGTTGCCTTCTCGAGAAGCCATGAAAATGAATTCAGAGGTTGACATGGGAGGTTGCGATCCTGGGGCCTGTTCAGATCCTACATTACAAAGCGTAATCGGACTCAGTACATCTAGGTCTCATGTGATAGTGTCACTGCCTGGACATTTACACATTGAGGGAGTTGAGACTCGGATACGAAATCGGTCAAAGGACGCGCCCTATGTGACACGTACCTCGACCTCCGAAATTGGGGAGGTTTTTCTTTGTGCTCATTGGCTGCGGGGTTTTGCATGTTGATCCCAGGGTGATGCTGACGTGACAGGATGAGCTCGAGAAAGATTGACGGAATAGGTGGCGAAAAGTCGGAGTACCCAGTCATTGACAGGGAGTCAGGGAAAGATACGTGACGTGGTTCCGCGCCACGCTGTCCTACACACGCTCCTGAAGTTGCCGAGATCGACCTCTCGTAAGCGATGTGCGAGTGTAAGAGGTCAGATCTGACTGGGATAAAACGCGGTAAAGGAGCTTTCGATAGCAGGTATAAGCCAGCAGCGAAGTTCGTGTTAGCAATAATATTCTTCATTGTTGTGATAACGAGATGGCTGACAACGAGTCGGAATACCACCTCCTTTTAGGACGCGGTTTGGGACTGCCATATCTGTGTTTGGTGACACGAGAAAATTCACAGTTTCACCAGTATGTCTCGCATCATTGCCGCTAGTTTTTTTTTTCTCCGCTGGCCTTAGTGTGTCGCCTTCTCACATCTGTTATCGTTGGCTTCTCAGATGCCTGTGCGAGCGCGCTGACCTCGTTATTAGTCCAGGATCATACGCGTTACACAGTCAAAAGCTCCACGTTTGCACCCAGACATGTCGCATCCAGGATTGTTACAACCAGGGTTACATCCAACGTTACAACCCGCGTTACAACCACCTTCACAGCCAGTCATGTTCGACGCGCGCAGACTAGCAACGGCAGTGCCAGAGGACATAGTGTTCTGCATAGACACCGACATAGAGGCGGCGCGGGACTTAAAGCCATCCAGCAGCGCAGCCGCCGCTACAGCCGCTACAGCCGGCGAAGGGGTGGGAGCAGACGGAGCAGGAGCGGGATCAATCGCTCAACAAGCAACAGAAACAGCAGCAGGGACAGGAGGAGCAGCAGCAGCAGTAGCAGGACCACCAGGAGCAACAGCAGCATCGTTGACGAGACTAGATGCGATACGGCAGGCTCTGCTGCTGTTCACGCACTCGAAACTCGCCATGAACCCCTCGCACAGGTGAATCTGTCGCACAGGTGAATCTGTCGCACAGGTGAATTCTTAGCACACAGATGCTGCTACGTTCAACGAGGTCGTTTTTGAGGCGCCTCAAAAACGACCTCAGCACACAGATGCTGCTACGTTCAACCCATACGCTTCTTTGTTTGACTCGACTCGAAGCTCGTCGTTGCTGCTGTGCTTGCGCGCACTCCAAACTCACCATGAACCCCTCGCACAGGTGCCGTTTTGGCCCATGGGAATTCTGGGAATTTCGAATCTAAATCACTTATGATGATAATAGTGATTTTTAATTAATACATGTATACATAAACACACTCACACACGCACACACACACACACACACACACACACACACACACACACACACACACACACACTATGCACCCCTTTTTCTCTCCCCTCCCCTCCTTTCTCCCCAACAGGTTCGCCCTGGCTGCACTCAAGGGCAGCATTTTGAGACGTCTCAAAAACACCCTTTCTACACGTGGCTCTCCTCCCTTCCTTTCACCCCAACAGGTTCGCCCTGGCTGCACTCAAGGGCAGCACGGCAGCAGCACCCGCCTCCCCTGCTTCCTCCCCACGGCAACCACAATTCTCCTGGGTAAGACTTTGTGTGGAAACACGTTTGCCAGTTTCAGGCGCCCTTCACGCAGGGAGCTGCTTCCCCTGGCTCCAACTCCTCCCGCTCCACCTCCCTTGAGGTGACTTTTGGGTCGCCCTCTTGCTGTGAAAACAAGAGCCTTTCACGCACTTCAGACGCCTTTCACGCAGGGAGCTGCTCCCCCTGGCTCCACCTCCTCCCGCTCCGCCTCCCCTGCTTCCTCCCCGCGGCAATCACAACTCTCCTGGGTACACTCTTGCTGTGAAAACATGTTTGCCAGTTTCAGACGCCCACCACACAGGGAGCTGCTCCCCCTGGCTCGCCCGCCTCCTGCTCCGCCTCCCTTAAGGTGACTTTTGATGCGACCCAAAAGTCCACCTCCTCCTGTGACCTGTCTACTTTTGAGGCGCCTCAGAAGTAGGCTCCTCAAAAGTAGACTCCTCAAAAGTAGACTCCTCAAAAGTAGACTCCTCAAAAGTAGACTCCTCAAAAGTAGACTCCTCAAAATGACTCTTGAGTCGACCCAAAGTCCACCTCCTCCTCCTGCTCCGCCTGCCCTGCTTCCTCCCTCCCCACGGCAATCACAGTTCTCCCGGGTACACTCTTGCTGTGAAAACAGGTTTTGCCATTTTGAGACGCCCACCTAACCAAACACACATGGTGCTGCCTCCCCTGGCTCCGCCTCCCCTGGCTCCGCCTCCCCTGGCTCCGCCACCTGTGCTTCCTCTTCGTGGCAAAGCAACCACAGTTCTCCTGGGTGCGGACTTGTTGTGGTGCCTCAAATATAATAAGTGTGGGCAACCACTCAAATGAAATCCATCCAGTGGTTGGATGCATTTTACCAATGACATGAACGCTCTCCTCTCCTCTCTCTGCTCTCCTCTCCTCTCTCTCCTCTCTCTGCTCTCCTCTCCTCTCTCTCCTCTCTCTGCTCTCCTCTCCTCTCTCTCCTCTCTCTGCTCTCCTCTCCTCTCTCTCCTCTCTCTGCTCTCCTCTCCTCTCTCTCCTCTCTCTGCTCTCCTCTCCTCTCTCTCCTCTCTCTGCTCTCCTCTCCTCTCTCTCCTCTCTCTGCTCTCCTCTCCTCTCTCTCCTCTCTCTGCTCTCCTCTCCTCTCTCTCCTCTCTCTGCTCTCCTCTCCTCTCTCTCCTCTCTCTGCTCTCCTCTCCTCTCTCTCCTCTCTCTGCTCTCCTCTCCTCTCTCTCCTCTCTCTGCTCTCCTCTCCTCTCTCTCCTCTCTCTGCTCTCCTCTCCTCTCTCTCCTCTCTCTGCTCTCCTCTCCTCTCTCTCCTCTCTCTGCTCTCCTCTCCTCTCTCTCCTCTCTCTGCTCTCCTCTCCTCTCTCTCCTCTCTCTGCTCTCCTCTCCTCTCTCTCCTCTCTCTGCTCTCCTCTCCTCTCTCTCCTCTCTCTGCTCTCCTCTCCTCTCTCCTCTCTCTGCTCTCCTCTCCTCTCTCTCCTCTCCTCTCTCTCCTCTCTCTGCTCTCTCTGCTCTCCTCTCCTCTCTCTCCTCTCTCTGCTCTCCTCTCCTCTCTCTCCTCTCTCTGCTCTCCTCTCCTCTCTCTCCTCTCTCTGCTCTCCTCTCCTCTCTCTCCTCTCTCTGCTCTCCTCTCCTCTCTCTCCTCTCTCTGCTCTCCTCTCCTCTCTCTCCTCTCTCTGCTCTCCTCTCCTCTCTCTCCTCTCTCTGCTCTCCTCTCCTCTCTCTCCTCTCTCTGCTCTCCTCTCCTCTCTCTCCTCTCTCTGCTCTCCTCTCCTCTCTCTCCTCTCTCTGCTCTCCTCTCCTCTCTCTCCTCTCTCTGCTCTCCTCTCCTCTCTCTCCTCTCTCTGCTCTCCTCTCCTCTCTCTCCTCTCTCTGCTCTCCTCTCCTCTCTCTCCTCTCTCTGCTCTCCTCTCCTCTCTCTCCTCTCTCTGCTCTCCTCTCCTCTCTCTCCTCTCTCTGCTCTCCTCTCCTCTCTCTCCTCTCTCTGCTCTCCTCTCCTCTCTCTCTCTCTCTCTCTCTCTCCTCTCTCTGCTCTCCTCTCCTCTCTCTCCTCTCTCTGCTCTCCTCTCCTCTCTCTCCTCTCTCTGCTCTCCTCTCCTCTCTCTCCTCTCTCTGCTCTCCTCTCCTCTCTCTCCTCTCTCTGCTCTCCTCTCCTCTCTCTCCTCTCTCTGCTCTCCTCTCCTCTCTCTCCTCTCTCTGCTCTCCTCTCCTCTCTCTCCTCTCTCTGCTCTCCTCTCCTCTCTCTCCTCTCTCTGCTCTCCTCTCCTCTCTCTCCTCTCTCTGCTCTCCTCTCCTCTCTCTCCTCTCTCTGCTCTCCTCTCCTCTCTCTCCTCTCTCTGCTCTCCTCTCCTCTCTCTCCTCTCTCTGCTCTCCTCTCCTCTCTCTCCTCTCTCTGCTCTCTCCTCTCCTCTCTCTCCTCTCCTCTCTCTGCTCTCCTCTCCTCTCTCTCCTCTCTCTGCTCTCCTCTCCTCTCTCTCCTCTCTCTGCTCTCCTCTCCTCTCTCTCCTCTCTCTGCTCTCCTCTCCTCTCTCTCCTCTCTCTGCTCTCCTCTCCTCTCTCTCCTCTCTCTGCTCTCCTCTCCTCTCTCTCCTCTCTCTGCTCTCCTCTCCTCTCTCTCCTCTCTCTGCTCTCCTCTCCTCTCTCTCCTCTCTCTGCTCTCCTCTCCTCTCTCTCCTCTCTCTGCTCTCCTCTCCTCTCTCTCCTCTCTCTGCTCTCCTCTCCTCTCTCTCCTCTCTCTGCTCTCCTCTCCTCTCTCTCCTCTCTCTGCTCTCCTCTCCTCTCTCTCCTCTCTCTGCTCTCCTCTCCTCTCTCTCCTCTCTCTGCTCTCCTCTCCTCTCTCTCCTCTCTCTGCTCTCCTCTCCTCTCTCTCCTCTCTCTGCTCTCCTCTCCTCTCTCTCCTCTCTCTGCTCTCCTCTCCTCTCTCTCCTCTCTCTGCTCTCCTCTCCTCTCTCTCCTCTCTCTGCTCTCCTCTCCTCTCTCTCCTCTCTCTGCTCTCCTCTCCTCTCTCTCCTCTCTCTGCTCTCCTCTCCTCTCTCTCCTCTCTCTGCTCTCCTCTCCTCTCTCTCCTCTCTCTGCTCTCCTCTCCTCTCTCTCCTCTCTCTGCTCTCCTCTCCTCTCTCTCCTCTCTCTGCTCTCCTCTCCTCTCTCTCCTCTCTCTGCTCTCCTCTCCTCTCTCTCCTCTCTCTGCTCTCCTCTCCTCTCTCTCCTCTCTCTGCTCTCCTCTCCTCTCTCTCCTCTCTCTGCTCTCCTCTCCTCTCTCTCCTCTCTCTGCTCTCCTCTCCTCTCTCTCCTCTCTCTGCTCTCCTCTCCTCTCTCTCCTCTCTCTGCTCTCCTCTCCTCTCTCTCCTCTCTCTGCTCTCCTCTCCTCTCTCTCCTCTCTCTGCTCTCCTCTCCTCTCTCTCTCCTCTCTCTGCTCTCCTCTCCTCTCTCTCCTCTCTCTGCTCTCCTCTCCTCTCTCTCCTCTCTCTGCTCTCCTCTCCTCTCTCTCCTCTCTCTGCTCTCCTCTCCTCTCTCTCCTCTCTCTGCTCTCCTCTCCTCTCTCTCCTCTCTCTGCTCTCCTCTCCTCTCTCTCCTCTCTCTGCTCTCCTCTCCTCTCTCTCCTCTCTCTGCTCTCCTCTCCTCTCTCTCCTCTCTCTGCTCTCCTCTCCTCTCTCTCCTCTCTCTGCTCTCCTCTCCTCTCTCTCCTCTCTCTGCTCTCCTCTCCTCTCTCTCCTCTCTCTGCTCTCCTCTCCTCTCTCTCCTCTCTCTGCTCTCCTCTCCTCTCTCTCCTCTCTCTGCTCTCCTCTCCTCTCTCTCCTCTCTCTGCTCTCCTCTCCTCTCTCTCTCTCTCCTCTCTCTGCTCTCCTCTCCTCTCTCTCCTCTCTCTGCTCTCCTCTCCTCTCTCTCCTCTCTCTGCTCTCCTCTCCTCTCTCTCCTCTCTCTGCTCTCCTCTCCTCTCTCTCCTCTCTCTGCTCTCCTCTCCTCTCTCTCCTCTCTCTGCTCTCCTCTCCTCTCTCTCCTCTCTCTGCTCTCCTCTCCTCTCTCTCCTCTCTCTGCTCTCCTCTCCTCTCTCTCCTCTCTCTGCTCTCCTCTCCTCTCTCTCCTCTCTCTGCTCTCCTCTCCTCTCTCTCCTCTCTCTGCTCTCCTCTCCTCTCTCTCCTCTCTCTGCTCTCCTCTCCTCTCTCTCCTCTCTCTGCTCTCCTCTCCTCTCTCTCCTCTCTCTGCTCTCCTCTCCTCTCTCTCCTCTCTCTGCTCTCCTCTCCTCTCTCTCCTCTCTCTGCTCTCCTCTCCTCTCTCTCCTCTCTCTGCTCTCCTCTCCTCTCTCTCCTCTCTCTGCTCTCCTCTCCTCTCTCTCCTCTCTCTGCTCTCCTCTCCTCTCTCTCCTCTCTCTGCTCTCCTCTCCTCTCTCTCCTCTCTCTGCTCTCCTCTCCTCTCTCTCCTCTCTCTGCTCTCCTCTCCTCTCTCTCCTCTCTCTGCTCTCCTCTCCTCTCTCTCCTCTCTCTGCTCTCCTCTCCTCTCTCTCCTCTCTCTGCTCTCCTCTCCTCTCTCTCCTCTCTCTGCTCTCCTCTCCTCTCTCTCCTCTCTCTGCTCTCCTCTCCTCTCTCTCCTCTCTCTGCTCTCCTCTCCTCTCTCTCCTCTCTCTGCTCTCCTCTCCTCTCTCTCCTCTCTCTGCTCTCCTCTCCTCTCTCTCCTCTCTCTGCTCTCCTCTCCTCTCTCTCCTCTCTCTGCTCTCCTCTCCTCTCTCTCCTCTCTCTGCTCTCCTCTCCTCTCTCTCCTCTCTCTGCTCTCCTCTCTCTGCTCTCCTCTCTCTGCTCTCCTCTCTCTGCTCTCCTCTCTCTGCTCTCCTCTCTCTGCTCTCCTCTCTCTGCTCTCCTCTCTCTGCTCTCCTCTCTCTGCTCTCCTCTCTCTGCTCTCCTCTCTCTGCTCTCCTCTCTCTGCTCTCCTCTCTCTGCTCTCCTCTCTCTGCTCTCCTCTCTCTGCTCTCCTCTCTCTGCTCTCCTCTCTCTGCTCTCCTCTCTCTGCTCTCCTCTCTCTGCTCTCCTCTCTCTGCTCTCCTCTCTCTGCTCTCCTCTCTCTGCTCTCCTCTCTCTGCTCTCCTCTCTCTGCTCTCCTCTCTCTGCTCTCCTCTCTCTGCTCTCCTCTCTCTGCTCTCCTCTCTCTGCTCTCCTCTCTCTGCTCTCCTCTCTCTGCTCTCCTCTCTCTGCTCTCCTCTCTCTGCTCTCCTCTCTCTGCTCTCCTCTCTCTGCTCTCCTCTCTCTGCTCTCCTCTCTCTGCTCTCCTCTCTCTGCTCTCCTCTCTCTGCTCTCCTCTCTCTGCTCTCCTCTCTCTGCTCTCCTCTCTCTGCTCTCCTCTCTCTGCTCTCCTCTCTCTGCTCTCCTCTCTCTGCTCTCCTCTCTCTGCTCTCCTCTCTCTGCTCTCCTCTCTCTGCTCTCCTCTCTCTGCTCTCCTCTCTCTGCTCTCCTCTCTCTG